AAAAAAAACAGTAACAAAAAATAACAAAAAAGTGCTTTTTATTTTAATTTTTTTTAAAATAAAAGGACTAATATTCCCTATATCAGTAATTATCCGCTTATTTAACTAATTTCCAAATATTCCTAAAAAAATTACTATATAAGGCCCTCCAAAACCCCCCAACAGCATCTCAAAAATCACTCACATCTCTGTAGCTTTGTACCTCTCACTCTCTTTGGAAACAGAACACACACAGACACACACACACAAAAACAGAACACGACAATCTAGCCATGGCCGAACAGCCGGCACCGGCGGCGGCAACTGCCAACAACCGAACCTCCGGCGGGTCTCCCCGGAAAGCCCACATCAACAAGCCCAAGCGAAACATGTACGCCATGCTCATCGCCGTCATGGCCTCCATGACCTCCATTCTTCTCGGATACGGTAAATAAATAATTAAATAAATAAACCCCGAGACCAATAAAAAATGTTACCAACTTTTTTATTCTTTTGGAATGATTTTGTTTTTAAATTATAGATACGGGTGTTATGAGCGGTGCCACGCTGTACATACAGCGGGATCTGAAAGTGACGGACGTGCAAATCGAGATACTGGTGGGGACCATCAACATCTACTCGCTGGTGGGGTCCGCCATGGCCGGAAAAACCTCCGATTGGATGGGCCGCCGGTTCACCATCGTGGTGGCTTCCGTGGTTTTTTTCGCTGGAGCCGCCATTATGGGCTTTGCCAACAGCTACTGGGTTCTGATGGCCGGCCGGTTCGTGGCCGGGTTAGGGGTCGGGTACGCGCTAATGATTGCGCCGGTTTACGCGGCTGAGGTGGCCCCTGCATCGTCCCGTGGCTTTTTGACTTCTTTCCCGGAGGTCTTCATTAATTTTGGTATGTTGCTATTGTTATTGTGACTTTGTGTCGAAGGAAACGAGTAGCTAGTTAGTACGTATTGACTCGATTGATGATCACAAGTTTTTACGTAGTTTTCTGAATTGTTTAACAGAATTCGACTCGATATGGCTCGTTAATAAGTTGAGTTTGCACTTGTTATTAGAAGAAAATTCTTTTTGTCTATATATTTATGTGAAGATCCATGTCCAAGTTTCTAATAAAGTCACACAATTTTTCTTGTTTTTTTATTTTAATTTTACTGATTTAAGTGAAAATATTGCCAATATATTTAATAAAATCGGGGAATGTGTGGACCACCCTAGAGTTCAATCTCAAATTTTCAACTTATTAAATTGCTAAAATTCATGACTCGAAGATTGACCACATGCATATTATTGGACTTTTATGCTCTTCACCTGTGTGAGCTGAACTGTCAGCATTCCTTGGCCCAATTACTATAGATCGAATTTTGTCGCTTTCTTATTAGCCACAGCTCCCCACCGTCCAAACGTCCCATTATTTAATGTCTCCTCTTATGTAGACTTCATCTTTAATTTGTGGACCTGATTTTTACATGTCAGCCTAACCTATCTTCGATTTTTATTAGGCGTCCTATTGGGCTACTTGGCGAACTACGTGTTCGCCAAGTGTCCCCTGACTCTGGGATGGCGCCTGATGCTCGGCGTTGGAGCCATCCCAGCCGTCTTCATCGGTTTCGCCGTGATCGTGATGCCTGAGTCCCCCCGTTGGCTCGTCATGCAGGGCCGCCTATCGGAGGCCCGTCGGGTCCTAGAGCGCACCTCTGACTCTGCCGATGAGGCTCGTCTTCGCCTCGCCGACATCATGGGGGCTGCCGGAATCCCTGCCGATGCCGACGACAATTATGTCACCTCTCAGCCAGCCGCCTCCGCCGCCGCCAACGGCGGCGGTAAGGGCGTGTGGCGCGAGCTCTTCCTCCACCCAACTCGACCCGTGCTCCACATCACGATTTGCGCGCTCGGTCTGCAATTTTTCCAGCAGGCGAGCGGAATTGATGCCGTCGTGATGTATAGCCCGAGGATCTACGAGAAGGCAGGAATCACGAGCGACGACAAGAAGCTTCTGGCGACGATAGCGGTCGGGATTTGCAAGACTGTCTTCATCCTCGTCACCACTTTCATGGTCGATCGAGTCGGCCGCCGTGTGCTCCTCTTGACGAGCTGCGGCGGGCTGTGCCTGTCGATGGGAACCCTCGGAACTGGCCTAACATTGATCGAGCGCCGTGGAGCAGAAGGGCTCGGTTGGGTGGTGGTCGTGTGCGTGCTGATGACGTATACATCGGTGGCGTTTTTCTCGATGGGGATGGGCCCGATCGCGTGGGTCTACAGCTCGGAGATTTTCCCACTGAAACTGAGGGCGCAGGGTTGCGGGGTGGGGGTGGCGCTAAACCGAGCGACGAGCGGGGTTTTGCTAATGTCATTTATATCTTTGTATAAGGGGATTACGATTGGCGGGACGTTTTTCCTTTTTAGTGGGATAGCGGCGATTACGTGGTTGTTTTTCTTTACGTTGTTGCCGGAGACGAGGGGGAGGACGTTGGAGGATATGGAGGTGTTGTTCGGGACGTTTTTCCGGTGGAGGACGACGACAAGGGAGCTTAGGAAGAAGGAGGGGCAAGAGGAGGGAGGGTATGCATGAAGGGATGATGATCTAACGGTGGTGGTGAATTTGGTTGTTTTTCAATTCTTGTGATGCTTTTTTTTTTTGGTTTAGGTATTATATATGAAGTAATATATATGTGGAATTTCGTTGTGCTTTGATATAAAATGGCCCTCCAATGTTTGTGAGAGGTTGTAATTTGTGGGGGTTTCAATAAGTATTGTTGAATGTTGAGAGGAAATTCAATGTGTTTAAGTTCATTTTTTCCTCATTTGCTATGGCGTTTGATGTTTATGAATTTGAGCAAGTTTTTGCTTTCATTTGTTTGGGTTATGGCACTTATAGAGAACCTTGTTTTTTGTTGATGCAAATATTATTTTGAATTGTGAAAGTTGTGGGGAATTCATTTCTTGAATGTTTTTTGTGGGGAATTCATTTGTGAAAGTTGTGGGGAATTCATTGGAGTTGAGGCTCGGGTTATGGAAGTTCTTCGTAGAACGGACTCTTATGCAAAAGCTTCTGAGCTTACAAACAGGCAGGTGTGGCCACTTACTCTCTCTGCATGATTCATTGGCAACCGTCGGATCCGGGCTGGGTAAAAATGAATTCCGACGGGGCCTTCAAACGCACCACGGGTTTGTGTAGTGCCGGTGGACTGGTCCGAAATGCTATGGGTAAATGGATTGAGGGTTTTTATATGAATATTGACATCGGTACCATCACTGGGGCCGAATTATGAGGCCTATTTCAAGGGCTAACGTTGGTCTGGGACCTTGGTTTTCGGCAAATGGTAGCTGAAGTCGACAGTAAATGTGTACTGAACATGATCTTAGGGCCACAAGGGGACCTTGGGGGCAACGAGTCACTAGTCCGGGCCATTAGGGAATTGATGAGTAGAAAGTGGACTATTCGGATCCTTCATGTGCACCGGGAAGCCAACTTTGCGGCTGACCAGATGGCGAAATTAGCGGCTGACTATTCCCTAGGTCTGCATAGGGTCCCGACACCTCCACAAGGACTGGATTCTTGGCTCGATCACAACTTAAGTGGAGTGAACTACCCACGTCGCATTCTAGTTTCGTAGTATCCGGGCCCTAGGCCCCGTTTATGTACCAAAAAAAAAAAAAAAATGTGGGGAATTCATTTGTAATGTTGAGCTATAGAGTCACGCATGAATTTGTACAAGGGAGTCTGAGTATTACACTGATTCATATGTTAATACATTTTTTTTTTTAATAAAAATACGTATTTGTGATATGAGATGTAGTACTTTTGTTTATGTTTGTTTATAAAAGTATAAGATTTAAATTTATGAACCTACCTTGGTATCAATAATGAAAAAAAAGATTGCATAATCCTACCTATGATATTAATAATGAAAAAAAATGAAATAGATAAAAAAATATAATGCAAAATTGATCAGATAAGTTTCATTCAGTAACCAACCATAAACTTGTGATCATAACAGAAGATCATTCCGTACAGTACAGGAAACTATCACCTGAAAAATGCATGACTTGTTGCATCTGATAATTCAAATTTAACTATATCTTTATTTCGCATTAAATATTTTATTTGATCAATATATATATAACAATAAACTCAAATTTAACTATATCTTTTATTCCCCTTTTTTTTTTTTAAATTTCACATATTCGTATTATCTATTTAAATTCAAATTTAAATATAAATTGTATTTCATATTTTTCATATCATTATCATGTTTCGTGTTGTATGGTGTCATGTTTGTGATTTGTATTATTGTCCGTATTATTATCATGTTTGTTTTAGTTTCGAGTTCAAAACGCCAATGTTCAATGTTCAAGTTCCGTTTGAATTTCCTTCTTTAGCATTCATTATATTCTGATTTTGATATGTAAAATCAAATGATTTAGTTCTTTTCTTGTGGCCAAATTATGTTCTTTTGCAGAACAAGAGAGGAGTAGCTTCTTACGTACTGTCTTTTAAAAATATTTTGGCAAAAAACTAATTTAGCTCCAAACGTAGGAAAATACTATCGGTCCCGTTACGAAACCATTCCGTCGGGATTTATAACCGTTAGATCATCATGTAACCGTCGGAGATAGTTGATCATCATGTATTCCGTCGGAGAATGATTCTGTAACAGGACCGTAGCTCCCACAAAGTTATTCTATATTTGGTTTAACAACAAAACACCCCACTTGTCTCTTAAAAATGTACAATCAAGAACTCAAACAAATGTTGAGGGCATTTGTAATTATACAAAATTACTGAACCTTCTTGCAATTAGGCCAAACCTTAGGGGATAGTTTTTGCAAATGAACAAATTTTTGTCTTTATCAAACAAGGGAAGATTATTCATATGGCTTATTATTGTATGCGAGGGAAAAAAGTAATACCAAACCAACAACCAATAGCAGCAGCAATTTGCAAGTTACAAAGGTTAGCTCATATGAACTTAGTCATCTGTGACATCAAATTTCATATGTAACTATCAAATAGTATCAACTATCACTTGAAGCAATAGCATAACTAAGACTAAAAACACACATAAAACTCCCTAATTCACATTTTACACAAACATAACTAGACAACAAAAAGAAAAAGAACAATGGAGATCGATAAAAACCAGCTCAGTACTTTAACAGAATCCAGACAACTAACAACTAATACAAGTAAACGAGTCGCCATTCGTAAATCAGCGTCGCATATTAGCATTCACTCGAAAATCTCAGTCATACAATTCGGGGAAAAAAAAAAATATATTAAAATTCATTATGCTTATTCTCTAACAGCTCGTGTGCGAAAAAAAAAAAAAAAATCGTTGTTAATACATAATAAAACACGCGAATTCGTAACGGTTGCTTATGATGCCCTCTCTAAACTTGGAAAAATCAGCTCGTGACCGATGGTCATAGAAACAAATACGACAGCCAAGTCACTCTAATATTCCTCAGGTCCGGTACATCTTTGCAAACTCCAAACACAATTTACGATCTCGGCCATCACCCCACCCGCCCCACCCCTTAAACCCAGCCTGATAACCGTCTTGATTCTCATACACTTGCACACCCCAATCGGACCTCACACTAACAACTTTATCCACATCATCGACTTTGAAACTCGCAGCCCCGTTATCAATGCACGCCGTTTGTTCTCCCTGGCCTTGATGCAGCCCACACTTCCCGAAATGGGCCGCGCTCGTTCTGGGGCCCCGCAGCGTGTACACCGGGCCCCCAAAAGATGGATAAACAGTGGCCCACATCGTTATATCCCAGTTATAGTCGTCGAACGTGCAGAATTCGCGTGCCTTTTTATGAATCTTTCTCCACACCGTCCGATTAAACGAATACCCAACGTTCCCCATCCGCTCAGCGACTAAGTGGGCATGGTTTTCTCCCCTCGACTTTACATCAGACGGGGCAAGATTAGCCGCGTAGCAAAGTGGGCATTTTTCGGGCTTCAGCTTCACAAGAAGCTGCAAGTTACGATAAGCGTTGGGGTAAATGAAGTGGTCTTCCTCTATGAACAGGATATGGCCCGAGTGAGCCCGAGTCTCCCTTAGCCCGTCCCACACGGTATTCATCATCCACCACCAATGGTGTTTGAGTGACACGATTTTAGGCGAACGGTAGTTTCCATATTGGTCGGGCGTCCCTATGCAATTTTTCTTGGGGGGATCGTTTTTTTCTCTGCAGTCGTTGGGAGAGAAACCCGGGAAGGAGTTTTCGAACAAATGAGGGGAGAAAGGGGCAAAGATTTGCTTCACACGGCAGAATCTTATATTCTCGATTATTCTGTTCATTTGCTCGAAAGACCCATCGTGGCTGACGATTAGGAGGGTCTCGCTAATGCCCTCGACTCGGGAGAGGCTGTCGATGACCACTTGGAGGTATTGGGGCCGATTGTGAACGTACAAAACGATGACTATGTGATTCTTGGGGAGAGTGGGGTACAAATCCAAGTTCTTCGGTGGGAGTTGATTTTGTTTTTCGAGCGAAATCGATAATTCGGTTTGTTTGGGGAGATTCAAGTTCTTGTTGCTGGAAATTAAAGTGTAGTTATAAGGAGATCCTAGGCTTTCTCCTCCATAGGTGGTGCTATCTGATGAATATCTACCTGCTAAATCTATAAATGTGTTTGTCCTCAAACACAAGACTAACAAAAGAAAACCAAACACACCAATCACAATCCAGCGGCATAAAGACACGTTTTTTACTCGGGCTTTTTTGTGTGAAGCCGCCATTAACAACAACAAGAGCTACTGTCAAGCAGTTGAAAGCATGAGAAACAGGAAATTACACAAAATAAGAAAAAGGGCAACCTTTGCAAGAGCAAAATAAGGGATTACGCGAGCAAAAAGGCGTGACCTTTAACAAGCTTTCGTTGATGGGCTCACCAGAAACAGATATTTTGAAGGATCCGCAGAGCGAGTTGCAGAGTTGACTTGTCTGGAAATTTCAAGAGGATTAACTGTTCTCAGTATATATAAAGGTAAGGCGAAGTAGATCAAAAAGGATATTCTCCAACAAATGGAAATTTCAAGATTATTTAGATTGGATTTTGGACTGACTGGAGGAACGAGAGAAGTTGAGAGATGCTGGGAATTTTCATTTCCTTTCTTATCTTACAAACTCTAAATGCGACCACCCAAACACGGTCTTGACTTCTCCAGGGGCAAAAATTTAGGGGGTCTACTCGTACTCGTTTATCAATGAGCTATAAAAAATAATATAAAAAGGTTCATAAAAAATATATAAAAACTCTACTTTTGAGTTGTAACAATTTAATCTATCGTTTCGAAAAAAAAAAGTTTTAACAAGCCGAATGCAATTTGTCTCATTAATTAAAAGAGTTTGATCTCTACTCATTTTGATTGACTGATATTATTAAGGTTAAAATTACGAGCTGTTTGTTATGTTTACGTCCTAAAACGCAAAATAAATATCTCATCTTTTCTTTTTCTCCAAACAAAAAAGATTATATTTTGTTTTTTACTTCATTTTCAATTACTAAGAATGATTGTGATTAGATTAGATTTGCTTTAATGAATGTACAACTTGCAAGCATCAATGAGATTTTGACTAAATGGAACACTAACTAGGCTATGTTTGAAATACAGACATACAGTGAAACCATTCGTACATTAAAAGCATTTCCAATTTCCAAATGATAACAAGGGTGAAAGTTTTAAATAAGTGCGTTGTTGCTAGGCTGCAAACGAACCGAGCGACTCGCGAGCCGCTCGCGAGTGCTCAAGTCAAAGCTCGACTAAAGCTCGAGTTTGATCGAACTCGAGTCGAGCTCGTGCACGAACTCGATTCGAGCTCAAGCTCATATTTTGCCTTGTCGAGCAGGTCGACATACATGTTGAATTACTAAAATACCTCTTAACATAGGTCCTTAATGGTAATTTTACCTTTTCACTTAAAAGTGTCTAGCCGAACTCGAGCATTTTGATTCGAGTCGAGCTCGAACCGAGCTCGAACTATTATAATATTTTATCGAGTCGAGTTCGAGCTCGAGCAACTAAAAAAAATAATCAATCATGCTCGATAAAGCCAATACTCAACTCGGCGATGCTCGTTTGCAGCCCTAATTATTGCGAGCGTGAAGAAATGGGGTCAATGTCTCTATGGCTATACACTTTAATGACTATTGACTTGCATGGTTTTTAAATTTTCCACGGACAGTTGATTGTTATTAGCATAATCTTCATTTTGTCTCTTTTCATTTATTTAGAAATGATAATGATAATTTACAAAGGCAAAAGTTAGCTTGAGAACATAAATTTTGCCCCAAAAATGAAATTGCAATTTGCTACTTCATTAATAATCCCTTCTATTTATCTATTTATTTATTCTCCCTTTTTCTGGTTAGGGAGTTAGAATGTTACCTCAGCTAACCTCCTATGCTCCACCTGTTCTACCGAACCATGGCCACCAGGCCGGGTCGGCCCATTTACCCTACACGTTCTTGAACCGAACCTTCATATACCCGGATCAGTTCCGGTTCTATATTTTGGAAGCTGTTGTTTTTAACAAACACATAGAAAATATCAGCAGCCAAAGATAAAAAGTGACGGCAAATCAGTCAATACAAGCAAGCACAAATTTCTCATGTCACCAAATTGAATTCTTTCGTTTCTTTTTTTTTTTTCATCAGACAAATGTGTTCCCAAAACACGGGACATTTCGTCGAATAGTCATACCCAGCCTGGAGAAAAAGAAGCATTCATCCTCTTCTTCTCTAAAAATACACTAAAGAGAATAAAAAACAAAATGAAGAAAGAAAAACTAGAAAACTTTTATTTGTATATAAGGGCGTCCCGTCCCGGCCCCACTCCTATGTAGTGAACGGGTACACCGACAAGTTGTTCTATCCTCTCGACATAATTACGTGCCGCTTTTGGCAGCTCAGAGTAGTCCCTTATGGAAGAAATGTCGCTCTGCCACCCAGGCATAACCTCATACTCGACCTAAAGCAAAATCCAATGGATCATGCGAATTTAACATCGAATGTGAAATTATAGAAAGAATCTAGTAACAATTTACATTTTCAATCTCAATAGTCAATAAACCCACTTAGATAAAGTAGATAACATACGGGTTGTTAAATCAGCTTAGATAAATATGACATGCAGATATGAACAACCGTTTATCAAAGATTCAAACTTTGAGGCGGAAAATTATTTTTTTCTATTTATATAATCAAAACCCACTTTTTGAGAGTTAGAATATAGCTATGTTTGGTAACCAAATAAGCTAGCTCGTAGCTTTTTGGGTTAGCTTATAAGCTTCGTTTGGTAGGACAAACTTTTTTTAAAGGCTTGAGCTTATCTCATAAACTTCTTTGCCTCTTTGGGTAGCTTTTCAAATAAGCTCTTTGAATTTTTATATCAGCTAGCTAACCAACTACTTTTACCAAACACTCTTATCATATAAGCAAGTTTTTCAGCTATAAGTCATAAGTTATAAGCTATAAGCTTGAAAATCACTTATGAGCTATGAGTTAGTTTTACCAAACATAGCATATGTAAAAGAGATACAAATGCAACGGGGCTCGAAGGAAAGTAAGAATATCCAGTGAGCAGTGAACAGAGCTTACCTTGATGTCTTCGAGAAGACGAAGGTCAGCAGGGAATGAGTGGATTGGAGTACCATCAATCGTCTTATACGAAACACCCAATTGAATTTCCTCGAAATCTGACAGCACGTCAAGTTTGGTGAGGTTCAGAGATGAGAATCCGTTTATTTGACAACAATATTTCAGTGCAACTATATCGAGCCATCCACAACGACGAGGACGTCCAGTAGTTGTGCCAAACTCCTGCCCGGCGAACCTAAGCAGGTCACCCCCTTTACCCAAGATTTCTGTAGGGAAAGGACCCGAACCGACTCGAGTAGTATATGCTTTGACCTGCATAATTGTCATTATATCAGCTGATTTGGGGCATGCTTTATTAAACAACAGCAGAATACAAGAAATTAATGGTTATCTTTATAAAAGGATCTTTCGAGTTTTATTCAGAAATCAGAGTAATGTACTGTGTATGTTTTTACCAAAGTTTCAACATTTCTCACAAGTCACACCTTTATTACACCTATTATCTAGCACGAAATACGTGAGTCCTACACAATTAGTATAATTAGACATCCCTTTCTTGCATTTAACTATTTCAACACAGGCCATACCAACATATACAGATAATATAATAATCTAAAATATTCAGAACTAAATATTCTAGCATGAAAAAAAAAAAAAAAA